CTCCATAAGGGGAAAAAATCTATGGGCCTACATTTAATATAATGGATATAAAGGTTTGTGACTTACCTTATCAGGAGAGTAATGCAGTGAAATATCTTCATAATAACCCCTCAAGCACTTTTAGGCAAGTACAAATCCATCCCTCAAATCTATATTTATTACGTATTAATCATTTTGAACATGGTACTAGTATATGATAGAGCAATCATTGGCGAGCGTATATTACATAATGGCACGGATTTAAACTATCAGTCTTGATATACTGTAATTAGAAAAATTTCATGTACTGCATTATGAATTCTTCATTTTGACTATGGCATATGATAGAGTAATATTTTGCAATGTATGACACTATCAGAGATGGTAGCTTCAGAGAACAACATGGGGGGGGGTGCCCCCCTAGAAATGATATAATTATAGGACAAACAAAAATACAAAGTGGTTAAGAAGAATGGTCTGATGAGTGGTGGTGAGGGAGAGATGGAGGAAGGTGGTGGGAACTGGTTGCTTACCACCACCACCACCACCCCAGTCAGTAGGCATCCAGGCAGCGAGTTGGAGGTTCCTAACACTTGGTATTATGTAAATTTTCAATACAAATATTTCCACTCTTTCTTATCACCTTCAGCATTATGAATTCTACTGCGAGAAATCTTACTTATTAAAAAAGCCATATACACTGCATATGATGCTAGATTTGAAAAAGGTATAAATGAGCATGGCTTTTGGCACATTACTACATCTGTTTCAGCAATTTTAGGTACAGTACAGTATAGGTTTTAGTTATTAATGTGGGATAATAAAATGTGTACCATAATTTCTCATATATTACTTTTATTTTGAAGTTTTAATATATTATTTCAATGCTGGACAGTAGTGTATAGTACGCATTTAGTGTAAGGCAGGGACGAGTCATGATGGCCTGGCTAGGCAGTGGCTGGAGCGAACAATCCTCACTGAAATGAACATTTCTATATTCTACAAAACAACAGTTCCTAACAATTTGTTCAGACCATCCAGGAATTAGTTACAGCAGGGGTTCATTACAGTGATGATACACTGTACCCCCCCTTTCTGACGATTCAAACACTGGTGTCAGTAATTACTGTGTTGCTAAGGCACTCACACTCTCTCAAACCCATTTACTATTACTGTACTCGTCTCTACAAAAAGAAGCCCAAATATAATTCTTATTAAAATAAGTAGCGTATTGGCTCATTATATTTCTATAATACACAAGTTTACATAATATTTAACCAGTTGTTCCTTACGAGAAAAATATAATATATAAATGTTCCTATGGACATACTTCCCAGATGGCACAGTTAGGGTATTAAAACTAATTTCTTGTTAACTGTAAATTATTTTTATTTTCTCTATAAATTTCTTATACTGTATTTTATATTTTTGGAAATAAATTTTGTTTACCATAAACCTTAGCTAATAATAAAATATATGCATACTACAGCATAATAATATGTATGTGTTTGTATGAATGTATATATAATATGTAGGTACTATATGGGATGGTGCCCGGATCAACCCAAAAGTGTCACTTAAGTGACACTTTTGATGTGGACGGTGCCACTTAAGTGTTGGGAACCCCAGAATGCAAAGCTGCCATCAGAACATGCATTAAACATGTGTGAACAGATGAAACACTATAGGTTGCCATGGAAGCCGACCTCACCTTAAACACACACACATTACAGTCCCGCTAATACCCACCAGGCACCCTGCAAAGTTTAATGAGCCTGGCCCCAAGCATCTGGGCTTATACCTTGGATGGAAAAAGACATGCTGCAAGATGGCTTCTGGAACTGGAAAACAAAGAGCTACAAGGAGTGGCTAGAGATGTTAAATATGGCAACACTAGTAGATATACTGTATCAGGAAAAGAGGCAACATTATGTTTACATACAAAATAGTAACAGGAATCACCATGTCGAATTCTTGAAATCCGCAACTTCAAAAACGAAAGGTCATAGATTCAAGGTAAGGAAACAAAAGTACCGAAAAAATGTTAGAAAGTTCTCCTTTGGAAACAGAGTGGTAGACGTATGCAGGCGATGAGTCACAATAACGTGGCTAAAGTAAGTTGACCAGACCACACACTAGAAGGTGAAGGGACGACGACGTTTCGGTCCGAAATGTCGTCGTCCCTTCACCTTCTAGTGTGTGGTCTGGTCAGAGTGGTAGATGGTTGGAACAAATTTGGTGGTGGAAGCCAAAACCATTAGTAGTTTAAAAGTGTTACATGACCAAGAACACTGGGAAGACGAGTCACCACAAACAAGACTCTCATCCTATAACTACAATTAGGTAATTAACAGATACCGAAGCCAGGCCATCTAGGCTGCCTCAGAGATGGAGAACAGCTTACAACTGACCACACCACTGGAACATTATCTAATAACTCATAGTTACAAACAAAATAAAATTTCCACAGAGACTTGTGTCCAATGTGTTTATCAACATCATAGTTGTTAAATAAAATGGACATAACTTTACTCATGCTCAGCCCTTAAGGAAAACAGAAGCTTGTTAGCGATCAAGGAAATACGAGGAACCTTATACCAGAGCCAAAAGGTGGAAGCCGACCTGAACTCAAGAAGGGGGGGGGGGGGGGGGGGGGGGGGTGGAGTCCAAGTTAGTGTTGTCTGGATCCCGCAGAAGGAACTGAATGAAGTCTGCCTGTGCCAACGAATGCACAAAGTGGGATGACAGAAACAAGATTCATCTGCAGAACCTAACTGGACATGGACACCTGGGGAGGAGCAGTTGTTGATGGTTTTTGCAAAATTTGTGTATCATCAACATTTTGCTTATCTTCCATGGCAAATAAGCCCACATCATAGTGGTGTAGCAATTGTATGAATTGTATGAGGCAGGATCACTACCTGTCCTGTACCCAGGGTTATGTAAACACTATGATTCCATGTGTTTTGTGATTTTATTTCTCGGCACACTTTCAAAGATATATATGATGTGTGATAGCTACTGGTCTACAGTTTTTTTGCATGTGCTTTACTACTGTACCTCCTTTGTGAAGTGATGCAAATGCTGCTGTTTTAAATTTCAGGGATAACATCAGTATCTAGGCTCAGTCTCCAAACAATGGAGTAAAAGGTAATACCTATTCAACAGGGAGAGAGAAAGATACAAAAAAAAAGTTTAGAAAAACCAGCAGACAACCTTCAAACTCACAAGTAGCCAGTGCAGGCTCAATGGGTGGAGTTAAAATATACACCAAAGACCTATGGGGCTTGCCAGGATCTGATGGTAAGGGCCAAGTGGGACACCCAGGCACTGAAAATGCTTGCCAGGAGAACTGACACTGAACACGGCCTATGGGATAAATGCAGTTATGAAGGGTGTCGGCAGCATGCCATATATATACAAGCACTTGAACCTCAATGCACCACACCATAACAATAAACCCTAATTTCCATCACCCACAGGGCCATGCAATGGAGTTGAAGACCAATGCACTGCACAATAGGATGGTCTCTCAGGAGCAAACTCCTGAGCTCTTCAGAGAAGTTTCTGTCATAGTAGGGGAACACTAAATGAGCGAATAAGGAAGGGCTGCCTAAACATGTGCAGCTTGAGGGGAATCAAAAGTTATGTCCACACAACAAATGGAGCATGGAAAAATGTACTGGTGAAGCAAACACTAAATTTGTAAACCATACACAAAACAAATGGCTCCCACTGGTCAGAATTGAAAAGAGCCCACACTACAGTATCTTAGAAAAAACCTTGACCCACTAAAGCTGGTGATAGCAGGTGGTCTCACACTCGTGGCTATCAACGACAGGACTAAGGGTCTGATAACATGGAAGCTGGGAGCTTCCTCTGTGGTGCTTCCAGCAATTGGTGGCCAGCCATGACTTGAAGGTGGAGGAGTCCACGAGTGAATTGTTTGTGTTTACTGCCTCAGTTCTTTTCTCTGTGAACCATGTGGTTGTTTGTATTGCTTTTCTTACTTTCTGAATATTTTCTTGGTGAGGGTAAGCATAATCCCATGTTCCCTGTTCCTCCATGAGGGGGGGGGGGGAGGCAGGTTCTGGCTCTTGACCCCATTAGGCCATTCAGGATGCTTAAAGCCAATGTGACTAATGTGTGTGGAAATATGTTAATGAGCTAGCTTCAGGGAGCCACCATTCAGCCCCTCCAGATGTTTTTGAGACTAAAAAAATTAAATTAAATACTTAAGGGTCGACCAATTTTTGTTTAAATAAAGCTCAGAATAATCTAGGCTTTAAAATGGCAATACAGCATCATTAAAACTTACAAAATACAGAACAAAATTAATGAATTGATTTGGGCCCCATAAACAAAATTGTGCATCCAATGTGCCTGAATTATGAATAGAATGTCACACGCTAAAATCATAAGGTATTCAGCTAGGTATATGAAGTGAACTGAAACAACCATTTATAACACACAGAAATCACAATAGCCCTTGTGGATTTGTTCAACCATTTATTAACTGTGCACAAAAACTGTTACTTGTAATATTTTCTAATACAGGAGAGAGCGATGACATTAACACGAATATCATTAGCTCATAAGTATTCTTTGGAGTGCAAGACAAAGTGGAGTTTGACTCTCAAGCAGACGCTGCGATCACCATACCTTCCATGCTACCTAAGTGGGTTGCTCGGGCCTGCAGCAGTCTCCTTTGCTTATTACAGCTGAACCCCTTCCATATGAGAAGTGCCACCAAATATTGGAAGTGTCTGTAAGGAGTGTCAGCATATGTGGGGATTGATAGCAAGTGTGAGAAGTTGTTTCTGAATGTGGAAAGTGGCAATGGGTGATGTTGGCATGTAGAGTATGATGCAGAGTTGGTATGGGATGGAGTGAACATACTTTGACCAGACCACACACTAGAAGGTGAAGGGACGACGACGTTTCGGTCCGTCCTGGACCATTCTCACAATCGACTTGAGAATGGTCCAGGACGGACCGAAACGTCGTCGTCCCTTCACCGTCTAGTGTGCGGTCTGGTCAAATTACTTTAGCCACGTTATTGTGACTCATCGTGAACATACTTGTTAATGTAGTATTCTACTCGCTGCTAAGATACAAATGGCTGCCAGAGTAGGTGATGATGCATATTGTATTTACAATGAGTATTTGCCCAAGATAAACCAACTGAAGCAATTCAAGCAACTACTGCATAAAGGAGAAATACAATTACATTAATACAACAATCCATAACAAATGAAAGGTACTGTACTATGTCAAGTGGTGATGGTGCGGGAGGCTAGATGGGAGGGAGGGTCTTGCTGGGCAAGTGAGGGGGTTGCTTAGTGTCTGGAGGTATAACAAACTTTGACTTATATAATGTAATTATTTTACATTTGTACGGCAACTAATTGTTCTATACAGTACTGTATTTATAATTTTGGCACTGAAATGATTGTATATGATTGTGCTAAAACAAAAAAAAAGGAAGACTGCATAATAACTATATTGCCTATCAATTTTGGAAGTAGAGAAGTATGGTTTAAACCTTGAGGCAACTACATACTGGTACTGTATAATATAATATACATACCATACATTTGATTTTTAGTTTCATTTAAAATGAACAAGTCTTCCGACATGTAAATTTTCTCAAAAAAGCTAAAAAATAAAAACTTTATATTAGTGCTAATAAAAACAAAAAACTAAAATAAGGCCTAAAATTTCACAGAACAGATATCTGTACTGTACTGTCTATGCTGGGTAATCCCAATCATACAGGGCCCACCTCCATGAGAGTTTGCCAGCTTTCTTACCAGGAATGTCCAAAAATTAACAAATTCACAATTATTTTTACTACAACCCAGTTTCTCCTACCATTTACCCCCCTCCCCCCCCCCCAGTTTCATGGGTAACCGTTTACTGGAAAACAACGAATGCGAATTTAAATAGACTACCAAAATTTGTATTACCAAGCTCTTATGTTATATCCATAAAAAGCCCAAGAACTGAATGAAGGCTAGCACATTAAGTTGCATTAATGAAGTTGCTGTAATGAAAACAAGCGAAAGTATCAGAAACTTTTTAATTATCAAAGACAAAAATACTGGCTTGGTTTAATGGATAAAAGAACGTATATAGCATATTTTAAAATCCCTTTTAATGCATGATAAAAAGCACCAAATAAAATGGTACATAGAGCAAACAAGACTTGTGTAAAATAGCAACAGGTTACAAGTGCTACACTTTAACTCACACTGGTAAAACCAATATTTATGCAGGAACAAAAAGAATAGATAATTCATTAAGATAATTAGTGTTTTGTGCTGTTTGAATGCAGCAGTTATACTCTAGAGCAAACGCTTGGCAATCGATAAAAGCAAATATCCTAGAGCCTTTAAAGGGATCAGGTCTCTTCCTGTAATTCACATTAATATTACTTCCCTGAACCAGCCCATGGATCATGGTATGATTAAAAATCTTAAGCAATATATACAGTATATACTGTATTGCCAGAAAATCTAGCTGGGGACTCTTTGAGACTTTCATGGTTACAGTTAAAACTTTGGTAAATTTCTCATTATCAAGTACTGCTTCTTGCCTGGAGCATACCTCAACCCCTGGAGGGGGTTCTGGGAGTTCTTCTACTCCCGAGCCCAGCCTGGGGCCAGGCTCAGCTTGTGATAACTTGGTCTAATAGGGTGTTGCTTGGAGTGGCCTGCAGGCCCACACATCCACTACAAACTAGTTGGTCCTGCACTCCTTGCAGGAACTTATCTAATAGGTTATTCAACAAGTCCACCTTTGTTCCAGTAATATTTCTAATGTGTGCTGGGAGAGAATTGAACATCTGTGGACCTCTGATGACCATACAGTGTTGTCTAATTGTGCCTATGGCACCTTTACTCCTCACAGTTCTATTCTGGATTTCCTTCAAGTGACCCTTACTTTCCTGCTTCCTTAAGTGATCCATTAATTTCATCAGCAGTCAACAATATAGGAAACTCCATGCCTCTAGCAGAAGGTACCAGTTACCAGCTTCAGTCCATTCTCAGCAGCATATAATCAACTCCTTCATGCTTCAAATTATATCACCTTCCTTACCAGAATTACAGCCTTTTTTTTTTTTTTTTTTTTTAGCCAAGAACCAATTAATTTTTTTAGTGTAAAATTTAAAAAATTCTATGTACAGTATATATACATTATCATAGTTAATCCGACTTGCTTATCTGGAGAGTCCCCAAGTATTTACATGCAAGTTGACTTTTCAAGTACCAACAATACCGACGTGATGGATAATAAATAAGGCACCGTTTAGCTACAGTTCACAGAGCAGAAATACTGTAGTTTTGTTTAAAATCACATACAGTAATACCTAAATCATATACAAGCCTTCTCAACTGTGGCAATACAGCCATAAGTAAGTACTCCAATCACCTTATCAAGCATAAAAAAAAAATGATGGCAGTCGCTGATAATGAGTAACAAATAGAAATAAGTATGCAAAACATTTTCTTTACTGCAAGTTTAACAGACGATCCTTTCCAGGTGCTGGCAAGACAATTCATATACTGTATGCTGTATTATATTATTACCTGCTTTACTATTATGCATTTGTTTTACATTATTTTATATTGTATAATCAAAATGTAATTAACAACAACTAATTTTTTCTTAAGAATTTGATGAAGCAATGAAAGTTTTATGAGTTGACATATGACTTCTTAAATGACTATTTCGAGCAAAGCTTTGTGGACAAAAGGGGCATGAAAATGGTTTTTCTCCAGTATGAGTACGGATGTGATTGCTCAGAGTGCCTTTTTGGACAAACCGAGATGGACAATAAGGACACGCAAATGGCTTCTCTCCTGTGTGGGTACGAATGTGCATAATTAAATGGTCTTTCCTGGGGGTGAAGTATGAACAGAAGGTACACTGGTGAAGCTTGGAGCTAGATGTGAGGCTTGTTCTGGTCACAGCAGCTTCTTCCATACCAGGTCTCTCCCTGTCATCTCCCGCCTGTAGGAGATGTTTGGCTATTGTCATTAACCGAAAGTGTATCATATGCACTTATTATTTTATTTATTCAGCTATTAAAGCATTATCACTTAATTATTGTAAGCAATATACTGTAAATATATATATATATATGTTTCTCAAGTCCAAAGTTACTTTTGGTTTTTGTCTAAAAGCCTCAATCCTACAGCCTTTACTGCCTTTTAAGCAACAAAATCATCGACATATGGGCTATGCACGCACCGTATTGTTTAAGATTAAAGTACTGTAATAACAAAAACAATCCAAATGAATGCATGTGTAAAAAAATGAATGGTACATAATTGCTTTTAAAAAGATTGTGCAAGAATGTTATTAGAAAAATAAAAGATGAATAATAAATTAAAATTAGAAGTACAGTACAAGAAATAATTAATTTTATGGGTAGGAAGTGTCAACAGAGGAGCAAAAGACCCGACCCCCCTTTTAAGAGTAAGGGATCACATGGAAAGCTTTATAATGTACGAAATTTAACGATTTATGATGATAGTATCGTAGTTGAAACGATATGCTTTCAATATTCAACAGTAACTGTTCTACGTGTCCTATTATCTCAATAATAGTATATTATACTTGTCTATATAAAACCTGCCCATTCAAAATCTAATTGTTTTAACCCTTGGACACCAGCTATGGAGAAATGCTATGGAGAAAGCAAAAAATATATGATCATACCAAAAAATATTACTATGTGCAAAAAAAAAAATATAAATATTAACCAAAAAAACCTAATAGAATTATTCATTTGTATTCAAAATTTAAGAAAAACATAAAAATAAATATTACATTTTTAGTGGATGGAGGTGTTCTAAAAGACTGCATCATGGTTATGTGGTTTGGCATCTATAAACACAGGATGCCAACTTTGCTGACTGACAGCATAAAAAGGCCATTACCACTGCCATTTGGCTTGCATAACATTACTATATCTTTTTCGAGACTTATGACAAACTTCTTCCAAAGACTGACGATACAGTAATACCTCCATAGTTTACCTCAGTGACCTCAAAAGCATGTCTAGGGATGTACAGACTTACTTTCAAAGTTTAGAATATGGTCTTCAGAAACTAGCTGAAGCTATCCTGAATATCAAACTTGGTACATGTAGCATCAGCAAAAAGAAATAATAAGAGATAAATTTCTAGGTCATCATCACTGTTGACTCAAAGATGAACATGGTTCAAATCTATCCCATGTTTTATGCTGTCGAAGATATGCAAAAGTTCAGAGGTCTAGCAGGATTCTACCACCCATTCATTGCCGGATACTCAATAAATGCATCTCATCTCATTCATCTCCTTAACCTTTGAACTGCACAACACAGTCAGGGATGTTCTTGCTAATTATCCATAAGCTGTGCGACACAGTCTGGGATATTATAACAGTTCAGCGTAAGATTTTAAACTCCTGCATGTACATGGGGCTCACATCTCCCTCAGGTTACCATTAAACAGAGCATACCTGGAGCATGTTCCGGGAGTTCTTTTACTGCCCGAGCCCAGTAGACGCCAACTGGGAAAAAAAATCTTGGCCACTCCTCATGAGTATGAGTGTGCCTCAGTACAGAGAGCAACCATAAGCAGTGCATGCAGCAGCAGCTCACAGCACTACCATGCAGCTCATGTTCACAACATTACTTAATAATGATGAAACAAGTAAGTAACTGCAATTATTTAGCTATGTTAGTGTAATATGAACAGAAGGTACACTGGTGAAGCTTGGAGCTAGATGTGAGGCTTGTTCTGGTCACAGCAGCTTCTTCCATAGACTGGGAGATAATAAACAGGGAACTTACAAACATTCCATGGGGAACTGTTCTAAATAATACAAGTCCTACATAAGGAATAGAAAAACTGACTTCAGAAGCGTATCAAGTCTGTCTGAAACATGTTCCTTTGAGGAAAGCCAGAAAGAGATCTAACGTAGAAAGAGAACGCAGACGACACTATAAACGCAGGAAAAAAATAACGGAACTGCTTATGCAGACACGAATTTCCCATCAAAGAAGGAATAATTTAAATAGGGAGATTGAAGAAATCGAGCGGAAATTGAAACACTCATATGAAACTGAAGAAAGGCAGTTAGAACAGAAAGCAATTCAGGAAATAAAGAAAAATCCAAAATATTTCTGCTCATATGCGAAATCAAAAGCAAAAACCACTGCCAGTATTGGACCTATTCGTACAAGTGAAGGTTCATACACGGAGGATGACAAAGAAATTAGTGAAATCCTAAAAAAGCAGTATGAGGACATGTTTAGCACTCCAATAAACAACATGAAGGTGGAAGATCCAGACAATTTCTTTATGCGGGATATTCAAACCCCTGTAAATATAACTGATATAAACACGAGCGCACTAAATTTTGAAAAAGAAATTGAAAACATGCCCATGCACTCGGCCCCAGGTCCAGACTCATGGAATTCAATATTTATAAAGAAATGCAAAGTGCCGGTAGCACAGGCACTCAGTATAGTGTGGAGGAAGAGCTTGGACACGGGGGAGATACCAGATGCACTTAAAGTAGCAGACATAGCCCCTCTACACAAGGGAGAGAGCAAAGCATTGGCAAAAAATTATAGACCAGTTGCACTAACATCGCACATCATAAAAGTATTTGAGAGAGTGATTAGGAGTCAGGTCACCAATTTCATGGAGATCAATGACCTTCACAACCCAGGCCAACATGGATTTCGAGCGGGAAGATCGTGCCTCTCACAGCTACTTGAGCACTACAACAAAGTCACTGAGGCATTAGAAGAGAAACAGAATGCTGATGTGATATACACGGACTTCGCAAAGGCTTTCGATAAATGTGACCATGGCGTGATAGCACACAAAATGAAGTCAATGGGAATAACCGGTAAAGTAGGACGCTGGATACTCAGTTTTCTGTCAAACAGGACTCAGCGAGTAACTGTCAACCATATAAAATCTAGTCCAAGTGCAGTGAAAAGCTCTGTACCTCAGGGTACAGTCCTTGCACCGCTGCTTTTCCTTATTCTCATATCAGATATAGACAAAAATACAAGTCACAGCTTCGTATCATCCTTTGCAGATGACACAAAAATCAGTATGAAAATTACCTCGGCTGAGGACATTGAAAAACTTCAAGCTGATATTAATAAAGTTTTCGACTGGGCATCAGAAAATAACATGATGTTTAACAGTGATAAATTCCAGGTACTCAGGTACGGTAAAAATGAGGACCTTAAACATAATACAGAGTACAAAACACAATCAAATGTACCCATAGTAGGAAAACAGCATGTAAAGGATTTGGGAATAATAATGTCTGACGACCTAATGTTTAAGGAGCATAACCAAGCAAATATTGCGACAGCCAGAAAAATGATAGGATGGATTACGAGAACTTTCAAATCCAGGGATCCCATCACAATGGTTTTACTCTTCAAGTCACTTGTGTTGTCCCATCTTGAGTACTGCTCAGTACTCACTTTCCCCTTCAGAGCAGGAGAGATTGCTGAAATAGAGGGAATACAGAAAACATATACGGCACGCATAGACGCAATAAAGCACCTAAATTATTGGGATCGTCTCAAAGCCCTCCAAATGTACTCACTAGAAAGAAGACGAGAGAGATATCAAATAATATACACCTGGAAGATACTGGAGGGCCAAGTACCAAATCTACACAGTAAAATAACAACGTACTGGAGTAAACGACATGGAAGAAAATGTAGATTAGAACCAGTGAAGAGCAGAGGTGCCATAGGCACAATCAGAGAACACTGTATAAACATCAGAGGTCCGCGGTTGTTCAACGTCCTCCCAGCAAGCATAAGAAATATTGCCGGAACAACCGTGGACATTTTCAAGAGGAAACTAGATTTATTCCTCCAAGGAGTGCCGGACCAACCGGGCTGTGGTGGGTATGTGGGCCTGCGGGCCGCTCCAAGCAACAGCCTGGTGGACCAAACTCTCACAAGTCGAGCCTGGCCTCGGGCCGGGCTTGGGGATTAGTAGAACTCCCAGAACCCCATCAACCAGGTATCAACCAGGTAATAGAAGATCCTGATTGATAAAAATTATGTACAAGGTTCAAGTATCATTGAACCCAATGCTGGTTATGATGTTCACAGCATGAGGTAGACATCCACAGCACACAGCCATGCTTTGGTGCATGAATGCATCATGAAATGGGACCTTATGTTTCTTTAAAAAAAAAAAAAAATTGTGGGAAGTAATTTATATTGAGGATTTAGTGGCCAGGATTCTGATAATAAAAGCAGTGTTCTGGCTAGTTAGCAATGTGTATAGTGTATTGGGAGGCACTTTACTGTGTCAGGTGCCGTCGGCAACTAACTAGCGTCATTTTTTTTTTAATTTTTAAATCAGATACACACACACACCTGACCATCAGGCCAGGTGTGTGCATCTTACAGGGTCATCAAACCCCTTACTCAGTTATTAATTATAATTATTACTAGAATCCACCATCGAACAGATTAAAAGTATACCTGGAGAGGGTTCCGGAGTTGTTCTACTCCCCAAGCCCAGTAAAGTGGTAATAGATTTATGTTAAGTCAAAAGAGATGCTTTTATGGAGATTTACACAAGGCTGAATTGAACAAATCGTGTAGTGTAGTGTAGTGTAAAGCTGAATTGTCTTCTCAGACAACACATTCCATGGCTCTTGTTAACTTGCTACACTATTGTATATGGAAAATTTATGCATAAATTATAGTTTGTGGTAAATCTTGTTAAATTACATTTCACACACATGTACCACAAACTCATCCCCACCACCCCCATGGTTTAATTTGGATTAAATCTTCTTGCCACTTGATAGTTTTCCACCACAAAATATTTTGAATTAACACATTTTAAACCAAAATTATATTTAAAAATAAAGTTATACCACATTAAGCAGTCTTTGCCTTCACATATTTTAAGCATTAATAATTAATTTATAAATATTAAATGAACAAAAACACCCCCCCC